CAGTTAACATGGCAGCTATCAATAGAATGGGGAAGAAAAGAGAAATAAGGTATGCAAAGAATACAAAGCCGGCAATTATCTAGAAGTATGTGCTTGTAGATTGTCATTACTAAACATTGCTAAAGTTGTGTTTGTTGTTATTATAAAGATATGGGTAAAGGTCCGCTTTAAGGATTATAATTAATTACTTGTCTTTCATTTTAAGAAAACCAGTGAACATCTGCGGATTTTCCAAGGTCATGTTTGAAAATCAACTGTCTAAATAGTTCCTGTGATTTTCAAATAAATATTCTGGCATTCATGCTTTTTGAGTTACATTTTTGGAATGTAATTTCACATTCATACAATCAGAAGGTCAAGCATAGCATTGTGCTGTGTGTGGCTTTTACTTTATTAGTTTGCAGTTGAAGTTCTTGAACACTACATCTTGGTCATCATCTGATAACTGTAGACAAGTAAACCCATTAAAAATTGGTTTAGTTTCGGATCCTTTCAGATTTCTTTTTTATTTTTGTAATATTCGGATTCCACGCGTTATTCGTATTAGGAAAGAATCGAAATGTTTGTTTTTCCATTCTCGACATTCCTATGGGCTTTAAAAAAACAAAACTAATTTCATTGAATCAATTAATGAAAAGAAAAAAAAAAACAAGCGTCAGGTCCCCCTCCCCCCACTTCATACCAGGTCTCTTATGTATGGTCAGAATTTTAAGGGGGGATTCCATGCCCCCCTCCTAAAAGTGTGGGGGTGCAGGAAAGGGGGAGGGGGGTAATTGCAGCTCCCCTCTCTCTGCTCTAAACCAGGCCACTTGCCCTCAACAAGCGGTAGGGTCCCCATGTTAATGAGGACACAGGCCTTTTCCCAACAACCCTGCTGATTGACAGAAGGCAGTGGGTGGTTTAATAGCCAGCCTGCTATTGGCTATTGAAAATTGAAATAGTCCATAGCAGGCTGGCTATTGCTGTTGCCTGCTGTCAATCTGCAGAGGAGCAGACCTGAGAGAGAAAGTTCTCTCTCAGGTCTGCTCCTCTGCTGATTGACAGCAGGCAGTGGGTGGAGCAAAAGCCCTCCAGCTATTGGCTATTGCAATTTGAAATAGCAGGATGGCTATTGCTCCTGCAGAGGAGCAGACCTGAGAGAGAAAGTTCTCTCCCAGGTCCTCCTCTGAAGATTGACATCAGGCAGTGGGCGGGTGCAATGGCCATCTTGCTATTGCAATTTGAAATAGCCAACAGCAGGCCGTTTTAATTCTCGCCCACTGCCTGGTGTGAGCAAAGATTTGGGCGAGGCAGCAATCGGTAATATTTTTTTGTTTGGATGAAAAGACAACGTATTCAGTGCATAAACCTACATGGCTGTATTGCTGAAATGAAATTCTGGTGTTAGTGTAATGATAAAAGTACAGTGGCAGTTGGCTGGGAATTTTATCCAAATGCTTAATTATGGTAAACATTAACCACCCCAACACATTTGCATTCCAGAGGAAAATTCAGTTTAAAGAAAAACATTTTCTTTTGTCCTGTGGCCTTCTGTTCCAAACTCCAGGGGATGTAGGAGACGAGCCGCAAGAGACACCTCCTCATCTACCGGTCTCGTCCTCAGGCACGTGATAGATGCGAATAGCAGTTGACAAATCCAGTGACAGTCGACCTACCCTGTTTGTACATGGAGCAACAAGGGGAAGGTTATGTTGTCACTATGAGACACTGCTTTATGCTTTGAGGCCCTGTAGAATATATATATATTCCACAGGGCCTCTGTTTTCATAGTATACTGTACTGCATATTATGTTATTTGGGGGTTTTAAGCTGTTTTCATGCAAAAATGTCAGATTTTGTCATGTTTGTGCACAAATGTCCATCTTATGGAGAGTAATATGTGATGATGTTAAAGTTTATTTCCTTTTAACCCTTTAGTGAATGAGAAGGGGTACAAGTACCCCTTACTCATACAAAGGGGGGGGCGGCATCATCTGTGTGCCTACTTAGTTAAAGGGGTACCCCAATGCAAAGCCCCCCACCCGCAGACCCCCGAATGAAAACAAAACGAAACTAAATTCATTTTTTGCCATTTCATTTTTATTTCAAATGTCACATTGTGCTTTTTTAAAGTCCTTGACATATACAATGTTTCATAACCAAACATGTGCCAATTTTTTATATTTATAGATATGTGTAAGAGTAACATCTGTTTCATGAGATCAACTCATTAATCTTATAGAGAAGAAAATGTTGTTTTAGAATTATAGATAGTAGGCGGATGTACTATTGGCAATCATACAAAATGTGTCTTCAAAACAATTTTCCTTGTAATCATTATATCATCCAAGCACAAAAAAAACAACTAAAATGATATGTGCCAACACAAGACGCCTGTATCTTTGGCGATGACAAACAAGCCAACATTCAAGTGTTTAGCATGTTTTTGTATTATTATACACACTGGAGTAATGAAATCTGGCTTCATGTATTAATGTATACCTCCTAAGTGCATATACATAGAGTATAATTTTGCTGGACTAACCAATATTATAGTTTCAGTCATTTTCTTTTATTAAAAGTATAACAAACATTATGGAGTGTTTGAGGCAGTTTGTCTAACTTGATGTGTGGAAGCCACATTTAGAATTAATACTAGGTTAGCCACCTTTTTTTCAAGTAAAACCCAAACACTTTGAGACCAAACAATTTTGAGAATATACAGGAGAGAGCGAGGAGAGACAACCAGGAGAGAGAGGGAAGAGAGAGAGCCAGGGGAGAGAGCAACTAGAGACAGCCATGGGAGAGAGTGATGAGAGACAGCCTGGGGAGAGAGCAGGGAGAGACAGCCAGGAGTGAGAGCGAGGAGAGGCAGCGAAGAGAGAACAAGGAGAGACAGCGAAGAGAGAACGAGGAGAGACAGCCAGGAGATAGAGGAGAGGAAAAACAGCCAGGAAGAGAGAGCGAGGAGAGGCAGCGAAGAGAGAACAAGGAGAGACAGCAAGGAGAGACAGCCAGGAGTGAGAGCGAGGAGAGACAGCGAAGAGAGAACGAGGAGAGACAGCCAGGAGAGAGAGGACAGGAAAAACAGCCAGGAAAGAGAGCGAGGAGAGAGAGCCAGGGGAGGGAGCGGGGAGAGACAGACAAGAGAATGAGTGAGGAGGACAGCCAGAAAAGAGAGCAAGGCACGAGACAGCCAGGGGAGGAAGTGAGGCGGGACAGCCAAGGAACAGAGAGAAGAGAGACAGTCAGGAGTGAGAGTGAGGAGAGACAGCCAGGAGTGAGAGTGAGGAGAGACATTCAGGAGAGAGAGCGAGTACACTCCTTTTAAAAGTATGCTTTGTGTTTTTTGAGATCAGAACTTTGAACAAAGAACATATATCACCTTTGAAATGACTCATAAAACAGGTAGAATCGTATTGATCTACTGTAAAAGAGCAAACATACAGCAATAGACCAGCATCATCTGAAATAATTAATCAGTCCTGTGCAAATGAACCCATTGCATGTATAACCTAATAATGGTTTACAGTAACAATGTTTGAAATGATCTTATATCAAGTGTTAAATATGAATGTCTGCACATCATTTCTCCTTTTTTTGCAGCCACAAGTTTATACATACAACTGAAAACTTATGTCTAAAATCCTGATTGTACAAAACGTGTATTTCTATATATGGCATTATATTAATGGGAGATCTCTTTCCCTCATGAATCATGTAACTTGTACAGTATAGTGCAGTGTGCCTCACCCCTGATTATGGAGCCAGTGAACAAGCATAATTCGGCCACTCTTTCAACTTGCAAGATATGGTTTGCAATCCATGTTTATGGTTGTTACAGCTTTCAGGCTTTCAGGGTTTGGAGGGTAGGGGTGATGAAGCTTTAGCCCGCCTTTTGAATGTAGGTCCTATATTTGGAATTGTGGCATATAGAGGTGAAGGTCTTGCTCTGAGGAAGGGGTTGGTTATCCCAAAATGCATTAGCATGCCCCCCCCCCCCTTTTATTGGGTTGCACCTACCACTATACAGCGTTCTTGGACCATCCTGTTATGGATATGCCTAATTTCCTTTAAGAATAGTGAGTAGAACCTTTTTACTCTTTCATTTAATTATTTGGTTAATAAACATACTGCACTAGGAGGTGGCGCCTGCTCTGTGTTTTGTTGCATGTTGTCAAGATTCTAGTGACCTGGTTAAGTGGGCAGTTCCTTGGTTCCTAGCATTGGCGGAGTGAGCGCCAGTCCAATTGGTTTGCACCAGCCTGAATCTTGCCTAAAGTCCTCAGAATGTGATAAAATGAGACAAAGCACCTGTTTTGGATTCCCCTCAATTCAGTTGTATCATCTGTGCTCCAGTCCCATTGGGGCTTCTCTTTTAATGAAACTGCAAGACACCTTTTTAGGAGATTCCTAATCTGTCTAGACCCAAAATATACCAGTATAGAAAATAAGCATTTTGTCACAGTTATCTAAATACAGTATATGTAAATGTCTGTCACAGCTATTCACCAATATACACTTTTTAAGATGCAGGTAAATCTGCAGCCTATTTCATAGACTTTTGTATAAGGTTCTGTTCACACCAGTGATGAAGCTGTTTATATTCTCTATGTAGCACATGTAGATCCCAGTACTTGTTAAGAACCAGTCCTATAAGTAAGATTACACCGTGTACTGCAGCAATTGGGTGGTTATCTCTGACAGCAAAGTTGGGAACAAAACTGGTGACAGCATTTTACATCCACTTCTGAAATACCTACGCACAAAAACATACAACACACTGAAACATTACTGTATCAGATCAATTTGTTTCTTTGAACAAAAGTTTTTGAAGCCGGATGGACAAATAAAATGTAGAACCCTATGGGTGGTCAGACTAGTTTTCAAGCCAGAAGGCAGGCAGTAGACATGCTCAATAAAATGCTGTAAAGGGGAATGGTTAAAGGGCATTTGAATCCTAGTTGCTGCAATCTGTCCAGCCTTGTTTTAAAAAATGTCTTTGAATATATTTATTTTGCATCATGATGTCCTATGGCACCTTTTGCCTAACCTGTTTCATGTTTCTTCATAATTTGTTTTGTGCATATTCCAGTAGACATTCACCTTTCATTACCTGAAAACAAATAGGTTTTAACACAGTTAGTTCAATGAGTTTTATGAAAAATATCATAGATTTAAATGACTACTGTACTAACAGAAAACTAATGTTACAAATACCAACAGTTTCATTTACATTTCCAACACGTCTTGCTACTTGCAAAGTGAACTTTTTCAAAGTCCAAGTATGTAACCCTAGTGGTATCTTAACCCTAATTCATAACTGCAGAAATGCCGTCCAAATAGAATAAACAGCGCTGTACCTTATATGCAGTGTTGTATGCAGAGAGCAGTGACACTTTAGTGCCTCAGGAAAGGAAGAAGTTGTAATTGACAGTCTGGCATCAATTTGTATGCTGCGCAAAAGACAAATAGTGGTGCCCAAATGGTTGAATAACTACTGTATGTCATGAGGAGTAGACTAGAGCACATTTTATATACCTAGTATTACAGCTACTCTGTTTAGCACTAGGAGCAGGAACAGAGTAGTTGGAAATTGGAACAGTGTTGCCATATGGAGAAACTTATATGATCCTTCATATCTGGAAGTACTGTGTATTTTCTATCTCCAGCAGCTGAATAGGGCAGCTGCACAGAAAAGGAAATATACCTAGATGTGGTTGGGGGGTATTAAAGTAAACCTGTAGTTTTTTCCTGCATGGGCAAAGCACAGATTTGTTTTAAGTCCTCATTTGATGAATGTCAGATACAGGTGAAACTCGAATAATTAGAATATCGTGCAAAAGTTCATTTATTTCACTAATGCAACTTAAAAGGTGAAACTAATATATGAGATAGACTCATTACATGCAAAGCAAGATAGTTCAAGCCGTGATTTGTCATAATTGTAATGATTATGGCTTACAGCTCATGAAAACCCCAAATCCACAATCTCAGAAAATTAGAATATTGTGAAAAGGTGCAATATTCTAGGCTCAAAGTGTCCCACTCTAATCAGCTAATTAAGCCATAACACCTGCAAAGGGTTCCTGAGCCTTTAAATGGTCTCTCAGTCTGGTTCAGTAGGAATCACAATCATGGGAAAGACTGCTGACCTGACAGTTGTGCAGAAAACCATCATTGACACCCTCCATAAGGAGGGAAAGCCTCAAAAGGTAATTGCAAAAGAAGTTGGATGTTCCCAAAGTGGTGTATCAAAGCACATTAATAGAAAGTTATGTGAAAGCGAAAAGTGTGGAAGAAAAAGGTGCACATCTTGCTTTGCATGTAATGAGTCTATCTCATTCACCTTTTAAGTTGCATTAGTGAAATAAATTAACTTTTGCACAATATTCTAATTAATCGAGTTTCACCTGTATGTGGTGACAATGAGGTGGGATCAATTGCTGCAGTTCTTCCATTGCCTTTACTAGTAACTCACTGATAAAAGCAATGAGTTATCATTTGAAAGTGTTTACAATCTCTAGGAGGACAACCTCTAGTTGCCCTTCTTTCTCTCAAAGGATAACAATTTGCAGCATGAATTTGGACAATTACATCAATTTGCGGAACAAGAATTCCTATTTAGTTTTGCAGAAAACAAAGTAGAGTAGAGAAGACATATGTCCAGCTGCTTGTACTGTTATGTAATTCATTCACATAGATCCTCAGAGATTGCAACAAATTCTCTGAAGATAGGTTTTAGCCAGTTTATAACAGCTAAGAAACATCTGCTGTAACTTTACATTAGAAATCTGGCAGGCTACTAAGATTGTGATCTGCTCAGCAGATCAACTTATTTTGTTAGTAGTGTACAGTATATCTGCAAGTACATGTACTTTATTATGTTTTGATGATGTGTTGACATTGGGAATATTTAAAACATAATAAATTTATAGGTAAACACATATAAATGTAAATTAAAGGTTTAGGGGTCCTGCTTCATGTAATAAGTTTTACTTATGTTTTACTAATAATGCTAAAGCATTATTAACATAATGATGTTTTTGGACATGAACGTTTAGTGATGTTGTATTTTCCGCTGTGCAATTTAATTTCATATTCAGTTCTTTTCGCTTACCAGAATGATTGAACAATTCATGTTCAGTATGAGAGCTCACTGAATCAACAGTCAATGACAAAAGAGGCTCCATGGTATTAAAGTCAGCACTTTCATCTTTGGCCATCAAGTTTATTGATGCATGAGGTGGCAATTCGGTTCCAAGCTCATCTTCAAATGATCTGTGAAAAAATAGCAACAATATAGATATCTCACATCATACACATTGATTCTTATCATATGCATTTGGAATGAATGTGTATTTAAATAAAATCTTTAATAACCCTTTTACTGTGTAGAAGGCAGTGTGCAGTGCCTTTAATTACTTTCTCTACTGCTGTCTGTCACTCCCAGAGATCCTATCAAAATACAGAGCATACCCTATGTTTGTTACTCTGCTAGGCCCACCCACCCCAGCATCCCATATACTTTGACCTGGGACTGGCCACTTATACACTAAGCACTGGACTGTGGCAGGCCATGGGAGTGAGCATGCGTGCCCCATAGCCAGATGTACCAGTATTTTATAAAACTGCCGCAGTGGTAGTCAAGGTGGCAGGCAGGAAAATAGGTAAATGTACCAGTGCCTAAACATAGCAGTGATGGCTGTTTAGTCTTGTTTTTTTTTCTTCGAAGAAAAATAAAATCCTAATTCACAAGAACAAGATAGGACAGTACAATTGGTAGTGTCTATTGGAACATTTAGTATTATCAGAAGCAAACCTGCACAGAAGAGGTTAACAATGCTATCACAGCATTAGGAGCCTGTGATTAGCACGGCCATATACTATAGGAAGTGTTCAGGTAATTACTATGCTTTTCTAGCTACCAAGGAAAGCCAGGACCAATCCTGGCTTTCCTTGGATCTACTGGATTTACTGGATCTACCCAATACTGGCTTGAATGTGGAGCATGGTTAGGCTCAGAGGCAGGGGGTGTTCATGCAGGCTTGGGGGATTTACATCTCTCTCCATGTTTACCACTAAAAACTTTAAAAAGCGCTCACTATGGCATGTATATCCTTTATAGGGAACCATTTAAGGATTCATTCTGGGAGGTTTTCAAATACTTTACATCTTTCACTTCCTGCCTCTAATGTTCATGCTCATCTTGGTGGCTTAGTGGTTTTGCAGCTTTCCCTGATAAAGTAACATGTTTTTATCAACTCTGTCAGTGTCTGAATTCATAGCAGCATGCAGTGGACCTAACTAATATTCTGCGGGTAAGGCATCAGAAAAACCCTATGCAGCTTTCTTAAAAATTGTAGGATATTTAAAGCTGAACTCCATCCCTACCTACCATCTTAAACACATGTGCAGGCTCCTCTCTCCTGCATTGCAATTAATTTATCTGAGAACTCCACATTTTGTGAGAAAATACTGGAGCACATTATTTGGCACATCCCATGCCTAGGTATAATGGGCAGCAGCTTAGGGAAAGGTAAATATAATATCTAAATTCCCCCACAGTTTTTTTTTAACCAAGCATCTTGCAAGGGGGGGAGGCCATTTCTATTTTGTTACAAGGTCCACTTTGAGCCCTGCCATTCCTGGTATCTCCAACTTTAGCACTTTGAGCCCTGCCATTCCTGGTATCTCCAACTTTAGCCAATAAATGAACCCAATATATTGCATCACTTTTGACTGCTAAGGTGCACTCGTTGGATTTACTCATGGTGAAGAGGCAGAACCTAAGCTGGATCTAATATTGAAGAATGTGATTTACCAGGGTTGCATGACGCTGCATTTTTGCATGCCTGCAGTTTTGCAAATCTCTTTGCCATGGTCATTGCTAGACCTTAGAATAAGAGTGACATCTAACAAAGAGAAAAAGGAGCTTCTATGGTGCTTACATATCTTACATATTACATTACAGATTCATTGAGCCATAGATATGTAGCTGGCACAGGGCCCAGGAACTTGGGCCCATAGCCCAAGATTTAGCAAAGTCCTTCAAAATAGATACAGAATGTCAATTAAAAAAACATAAAATTAAAATAAAACATTTGCTCAATTCAATTAACAGGAGTGGTGAGCTATAAAGTCAGGCGTCAAATGCTTGCAAATTAACCCTCTAATACTTTTATACACCAACCCTACCATTCTCACAACTCTCAATATTTATAACTGTTTTAATATTATTAAATAGACTGACTGCACATATAAATACATTTTATTATAACTTATTTTGAGCTGATTAAGAAATAAACCATAATAACTGTCCTATGAATAGATGAAAATGTAAACATAAATAAATACAAAATTATGCAATTATATACTTACGACAGCCTTTTACCCCGGGGACTGCCAACAGCAGAACATTTCGATTTCAGTTCTGGTGGTGGATATTTATTTATTGACCCTGTTAAGATAGTTAACAGAGTAAACTTCCTTGAATGGAGTAATACATATGTAACAGTATTCACAGTTATTAACATTTACTTGGGTGAAAAAATGGGATTATCAGAGTTATAACAAAAATCCTTAATACTCTGATTTCATGCCTAAAGTTTGGGCATTCCTTTTTAGCACTTAGATTTCTTATTTAACAATAGGGTATAGAAAGGAACATGAATGGATATAGTTGCTCTTTTTTGTGCATAATGTAATGCTAGTACATATTTGTTATTAAAAAGAGAGTGGTAGCTAGGTTTTGGCTTCCTGACCTGATGGATTCAGGTCATGTAATCATATGTGAAATCATCTAAATCATAGGTAGTCAGTTCATATAGTTCTGCTCAGGTGCAATATGAATTATATGTAATTATAAATATGTGAGATTATAGTTGTACCTGGTTAATTACACTAAATTCCACACTGAACCTAGTTCATGTTTCCAGACCCATGTATAAATTAGATACATCAGTAGCAGATGTCATTGTGTTCTCCTTTCTAATACAGAAAATTAGAAGCTGATTAGAAGAGTTTAATACATGTTAGATTTACTAATTACATACAGGATTGCTATGGGTCTGTCTGCGGTAAATGGTGTTTGAGGGTTGAGTCACACCAGCAAACCACACTAAATGCATGGCCACTGGTGTACGATGAGATCAACAGTGTTTATAAGCTGATGCTAGTGCATCGCTCTGTTTACTTTTTTTAGAACTTTATTGAAATGTCACAATTACTTTTCATTCAGTTCTAAAGCCACAGCACGGTGCGATGTGAAATACAATTGCGGTGCTGTACACTGAAAAAAAGTACTGCATGTAGTACCTGCATGGTCTGTACGTTGGGGCAGCACCTTATCTAAGACAGCCCTAATGCACAGACAATGCAATTTTCATCTGGTAGGACTTAGTCCTTAATCTATATAGTAAAACCTATTTGTTAATTTATGTGTAAAGAATATTTCAATTTGTGCCACAAATTGTACCTATGAAGTGTATCTAATTTTTTCACATTTTGGATAAAGTGGTGAGTGGATTACAACACTGGCATGGTTTCATAGCTGTCTGTGCCCCCGTTAGGGTGACTATCCCACTCTATTTGTCCTTGCGAACATTGTCACTGGTACTGAAAGTAGGGAAAATCTAACAGGGTTATTCTCGAAAGGGTGAAGAGTTTGGAGAAGGCAGGAGAAGTGAACAATCTAGGACAACATAGCTGAACTGGAAAGTGAGCTGAATTGGAGAATTTTTCCAAATCAGCTATTCTGGCCTAGATTGTTCACTTCTCCTGCCTTCTCTAAACTCTTCACCTTTATGTGAAAAACCCTGTAAATCTTTTTTGGATAGGAATAGAGAGGTAATCCTCAAATGCAGACTCTTGTTCTGGTAACAACTGTCTAAGAGGCTATTGTATAGATCCTCTCACTTACTGTGTGTAAAGAAGTTAGTGAACTTTAACTACAGTTAACTAAAGGTAAAGTTGTGCCTTTAGATATACTTTATTGTAGCCTGGTAGATACTGTATTATATCAAAATGAGGAAGCCGGAAGTAATTTTTTATTTATTAACTACCTCCGGGCCGGCCGTAGTAAAAAAACGGCCGGCCAGGAGCTCTCTCGATCTGAGCGGGCGTCTCTAGACGTCCGCTCAGACACGCCCCCTTGCGCGCGCGAGCGGGAAATGGCCGGAATTTAAAAACGGGCAGCGATGCCCGTTAATATACATGCGATCCGCCGGCTGTAGAGCCGGCAATTTGTAAAAGTTTGTCTTTGTTGATTTTATTTGGTTTGTTTGTGTAGCTGTTTTTAGTTTTGTTTGCAAAAGTACTTACGTCTTATGGAATTCAAAAAAGAATGCATGAATCCAAGAGCATATCCAAACTCTGGTTTGTGAATTCTGCCAATATGGAGCAGGTGATGGTCCACAGGAATGCTGGGAAGATCCATTAATTCAGTATCATTATATGTTTTTCCTATGTACAGCACAAATAATGGATACCCTTGACACTTGGTGTTTAGGGAAGCTTGGGCAAGTGCGTGTTTGTCCCACCCACTTGTCTCTCCAGATAATATTAGGATGATAGCCTTGTACTTTCTTGCATTTGATACCTTAGACATGATGTTCTCAATTGTCCACTGCAAGCTATAGCCAAGAGCAGGTGGACCTTGCAGGTGACTGACACTCAAAAGGTGCTTCTTAATGAGCATATTGTTATTATAAGTTGATAAATCAAACTCAACATGAGGGTTTTCTTCACTATTTTGCCTAAAGTTAGGAGGTATGTTGCTTACTAGAGCCACCCGGTCACCAGAACTTGAGACATCAAGCCTGTCAACCATTGTACTGATTAACCCCTTTGCTGCTGCAAAGTTATCTTGCTTCATGTTGTATGAGCTATCCAGCAGAAATGCTATGTCCATAGAAGGCCTCTGGAGTAAAGGTCTGTTCACACATTGAGGATTTGGTTTACATCTATCTGAAATAGAAAATTACTGTATAAGTAATGTTGGTAAAAAAAAACATCATAGCAATTATTTATGTTAAAAAGTCCAAACCTAGTCAACACAATTTCAAACAATCCATATCAAAATTCCAAATCAACCATAATAGTGAGTTTTTTGTAAAAATAATTCTGGCAAGGAGAGTTTATTAATATGGCAGCTGGCAGACATTTTTGTTATTAATAATAATATTATAATAATGATAATAATTATTATTATTAATTATTACAATACTGTACAATATGTGCCATCAAGTAAAGTTAACTCCTGGTGACCACGTGGATAGTATTACTTGGGGGGTCTGTACAATTTGCAGGATGGTCTGTAATGGGGGTGATTTTGGGAAGGATATGTAGTAGGCAGAATTTGGGAGGAGGGGGGTCTGTACTGAGGGGTGGAAATATACTAGGAGGAGGGGGTAATTTTTGGTTCTACTGTGTATGCTGGCTATTTATAATGTATTTCTGACCCCTAACCGCTGTACTACAAACTCCTGACCCATGTATTTCATGCATTACATACTTTTGACCCCTGTATCCCTGACCCCTGCACTCTTAACATTATGTTCTCCTCACCCCTGCACTCTCTGTATTACATTCTTCTGACTTGTGCACTCTCTGCTTTACACACTCCTGACCCCTGTACTCTGTGCATTACATGCTTCTAAGTCCTGCACTCTGTGCATTACACACTCCTGACCTCTGCACTCTGTGTAAAACACACACTCCTGACCCCTGCACTCTCTGTGTTACACACCCCTGACATCTGCACTCTATGCGCTACATACTACTGGCCGATGCAATCTCTGCATTACGCAGAAAACTGAGATCACCAGCACTCAGTCAAAAACAATAGATTCTTTTGTTTATTTATTGAAGAAACATGTCGCAAGCACCACTTAGCCAATGTTTTGGGGCCATGCAGGGTCCCGAAGAAGGCACTCTGCGTGGCCCCGAAACGTTGGCTAAATGGTGTTTGCAACATGTTTCTTCAATAAATAAGCAAAAAAATCTGATGCTTTTGACTGAGTGCCCGTGATCTCCATTTTCTATGATTTTGGAAAACACGGTGCCATCTGTGCAATCACTAGGAGCACAATGACCATTAATCAAGGTCCAATCGCTGTGAGGAGTGCAAGAGACACATCACACTTCTACATGGTTTAGATACCCACTGTTCTCAAACAGATTTGAATTGTTCTGGGGCAGACCTGTTCAGTTACTCTCATAATCTAGAGTGATCACAAAAAGCTTTCCAATTGGCTTTAAAAGAACTAAGTGTAACATCCCAATGTGTTGCAAGAAAATGTGCAGCATTCGTCATCTCACATGAGCGCAGAAGCAGAACAATTAGGTAGCTGGGCTTTCTATTTAGTCTTTGCTATATTTCAAACTACTACTGACTAATTAAGCAGACACATCAGTAAAAATATCCACTCAGACACTCAGAAATGATACCAAAACACATTAACAAATACATAACATAACAACATGGGAAGTCCCGACAGTTTGTAATACTGTATATGGGACTCCCTGACATTTTGGGGCCTAATAAACTAAGATTGGAAGATGATGAGGAATGAAAATGTTTGGATGTGTCAAATAAAGTATGAAAGTATATTGCAGTTCATGTAGTTTATTTGGTGCATTGTAGAATGTGTAACTGTCTTGCACCATCATCTACTTGGCGCACTACTGGGCTAATTGTTGCATTAGTCACGTCTTTGTTTTCAAACCTTTCAAACGGAACTACCGTATTATTTCGGGCATCCAAAAAAGCAGGTTTCAATGCGCCAAATATTTGGGGCACTGACAATAGTTAATCTGGCTCCTAGTATAATACAAGATATGGTCTTTTATTTAATACTTACCAAAACAAAGGGTGCAGGTCTGTAGTGTTTGTAATAATGGTTTATAATCAGCACTTAGTGGAATATCAATGTATTTAAAAGTTCCTGTATCATCCACCTATTTAAATAAAGTATAAAATATATTATTGTAGCTTCCAGCTCATGTGTATAATGTTAACAAAGTAGCCTAAGTATACCCTCTAAAACTAAAAATGATGCCTTGAGATGCATGCAGGGAGCATACCCTATCTGTTCAGTACTTCAGGACAGTAAGGATCATGTAATCACCAAGTTGCTGTAGTCAGACTGTGTCTCTGACCTGTGTGACAGCACTTGACCAGTGCTGGACCAGAACTCCGGGCAGGTAGAGTTTTTCTTAACCCTTTTAGTGGGGCTACCCCCGCACTGCAATGGTTAAGTGCTTGTTTTTGTCTAGGTGCCAAATAAAATTTTACTCAACTGATCCTCGGAGCCGGTTTATTCTTAGACCAGCCCCTGGAGAATCTCTCCGCCGCAGCAGTGAGGACGCTGAGGAATATTCCAATGTTGCAGCGTTGGAAGAGAGAGGCTTCAGTAACCTGAGAAGCAGGCAGCCAGCTTGGCATTTCAATTGAGTATAACTTTTTTTGCTAACACCTTGACAAAAATGAGCAGTTAACCCTTGCAGTGCTGGGGTAGCCCCACTGCGAGGATTTATGAGTTCTACTTTAAACTACAAACATCTCCTAATTTCCATTAAATAGGGAGGAAGGGTTTTGTAAACCACAGACAATAGCTGGGAAAGCTGATAACATTGTTTGAGATTTCAGTTTAGCATGCAAGAAGTTAGAAGGATACTGGATCATCTATAAGGATTAACAGGTATTTTCTGACTTGCAGAAAATGTACTAAAAAGAAAACTAATGCAGACACCACATCTAACTGTAAGCAGCAATGTATTCATTTGTATTCCTATTTTAGATATGCTTTAAAGCTGAACTCCAAGAATAAAAGTATTTTTTTTAAATGTTTTTTTTTATAATGTTATTTGTATTATCAGCTCCAATGGCTCAGATGGACATTTCCTGAGAGAGTACAGTAAAAGATAGTATAATTCACACCTCTTCCCCTCTACTCAACCATTCACAAAAGCACTTGTATCTTTTTCACTGAATACAAAGCATTCTGTATTTGGCTCAGAGAAAATCCTGTGCTTTACCTGCCCCTCCTCTGTTCTCGCCCAATCGCAGAATGCCTTGTACTTAGTGAAAAAGATACAAGGGTTTTGAACATACATAGCTTGTGCAGCAAAAAATGGAAAACAAAAATGAAATAACCCCACAAATTCAGAGCTACTATGGCCCCCTTTCTCAAGGTGACAACTGAAAGTGGACTATAGTGTCTCTGAAATGTTGCTGTCTTATATCTTTTTCTGCACAAGCTATGTTGTTATTATGAAGAAGATCTCAGTAAAATTTTGAGATCTTTCCTCAGGGGGGCTGGCCATTTTGCTTTTGAGGTTTTATTGCTGTCTGTGTCCCTATTAGGAAGATTCACTTTCACTCTTAATGATAAAGATCACCAGGACAAATAGAGAAAGTGAAAGAAAATGCCAAATTGTCACCAGAACAGGAATAGAGGGGAAATATGCCTGTTGTGGCTATTGGACAGGAAGTGAATGTAAATCTCCCCAGTACGACACAGGGCAAAAAAGAAAAAACAGACTGACAGGGGTTATAACCCCCCCTTTCTCTATCCAAAATGAAAAAAGTTTTGGCTTTATTGCCACTTTAATTTTTTTATTGTATTTTATTATAGTAGAAGATTATAGTAATTGTAGCACTGCTGTTTCTAATGTTGTTGTATGTTTATTTTACACTAATTTACTGTAGCAGTTTATTTACAATTTTGTTTAGGTTGCCAGTGGAGAACCATATTATATATTTTTTATTTCTATAACTTCACCACACAACTCCTTTTACCCCTTTATGACCTGAGGCCTTTTTTTTTTTTCATTTTTTGCACCCATGTTATATTCCACATTTTAGGCCTGCAAATGACTTAAAACCCCAAAACATTATATATTTTCTGAAAGCCAAGACCCTATAGAATAAAATGGTGCCAGTTGCAAATTTTTATTTTGCACGATATTAGCACAACTCGTTATCAAACTTCAACATTTTGTGAAAAATGTACTTACATGCCCCGAAACACAATAAAATACCAATTTTTTAATAGAATATAAAAGATGAGGTTACAACGAGTAAATAGATACCCAACCAATTTAGAGATACCCCAAAATACCAGCCCTAGAATTATTGCTCTCATTCCGCGTGCACGGCGATACCCAACATGTGTAGCGCGTTCATCATATGTAGGCGCACCTGACGCGTGTTTACGTGGCGACGCGCGTGCTCGCGGGGGACTTTTTAAAATTATTATTACATTTATTTTATTTTAGTTTTAAAAACTGTTATTTTCCTTTTTTATACTTTACTTTGATTACTATCACATTGGGGGGCTTACAAGCCCCCCATGTGATAGCAGATGGTGGCGACAGGTACTCTTTAAGGTGATGCTTGGGGTCCAAAAGACCCCCAGTGTCACCTCTACACTCCAAATAAGCTATTGAAGTGCAGATCGCACTTCAATTTGCTGCCGGGAATCTTTTTACACCGCTCCGATGCTAGCAACGTACACTGTAGAAGCCGATATCGAAGATGTAGCTAAGTAGTTTGTATGGAGAACCTTTGAAACTGTTGAAAACTGGACTTTGCCTAAAAAACAACATTTTTTTTGCTGAATAATAGCTAATAGATCTGATAAGATATTCAAGTAGATTCATACCGAAAAGGCCCGTTTGATAGCAGGTGCAGCGCTGAATGCGATAACTGCCGGTATAATCCCAAGAGCACTGTATTCCATCACCGCTGTGTTTATGGCAACAACATCTTCAGAAGGACCATTGCTGAAAAACACTGCAATCCTTCTTACAGTGGCTCCCTGGACAGATCTCTTGAATATGTTCCTGCCCACAAACCTCATACAGTTTCCGATGTCACGCCGTCCAGAGCTTTCCAAAGGTATGTTCTTCACAGCTGATAACAGCTGGTTTTGGTTGTGGAAATCAGAAAAGCGTATCAGATGTTTGGTATGTGTGTTGTAGGACACCACTGCCACTCTCGCCCCCACGGGGCAGTTGCTTCCTCTGATTGCAATGTTGCTCAGAAGTGATGTGACCATCTCTGTCATCCTTGTGAATATTTCTGGTGTCATACCATTGGCCATATCTAAAGCTAAGACCAGTTCTGTTGGGTATGCAGGGCATGTAGCTTTTTCTGAAAAAACAAAAACAAAAAAACAACAGTATTGTTTGTTCATCCTATGGCAAAACATCACATTTCTGTTACTGTGAATTTCTGGCCAGATAGTATTTACATATTATTACAAACACCAAACTAGTTTTAAAGTGTACCTAAAAAAACCTAAAAGGTTAAACTTTTTGGGGGATTTTGATAGAGTGATGAGGTGTTAGAACAATGGTCAAATTTTAATTACTGCCTGTGTCTCTGTTAGGGAGATTCATTCTCTTTAATTGTCCTGATCATTGGAAATAAAAAGAGGATAAATCCAAATTTTTACTTGACTTGAAGGAACAAAGAGGAAATCTTCCAATGCGGACACTTGTTCTGTGACAACTGTCTAAAAGTGAATATCCTTCACATTGGAAAGATATCCTTTAACTTCCTGTTGAGACTATGGGACATAGAGTGAGGGAATCAAGCACTGACCTCTGAAGCTGCAATAGCTGTTCAGCAATTCATCTTCAAAGTTTACAGGGTGAACATTGAAGTTGTCCAGGTCATTTCTCTAAGCAGCTCTGCTCCCTCTTGTTTACACTAGCGCCCACAGTAAAACACTAAGCTGTCTAGTGTCTGCGTTGGGTCTGGCGGGGGTATTGTAACTGTTGAACTCTCTCAACACATTTCTTTCTTTTTTTAGCGTTATTAAAGTGGATGTTTACCCCCTTTTGACTAAAAAGCACATCAGCATACAGCTCTGCATGCTGATATGAAACCGTAAATGGAGATCTAGTAATCTGCCCTTAGTAAACATGGACACTGTCAAAAGACTGGGGAAGAAAAGAAAAATAAAGTATGCAAAAAATAAAAAGCTGGCAGTTCTGTTTGTAGATTGTCATTACTAAACATTTCTCAAGGTGTGTTTGTTGTTATTTTGAAGGTATAGTTAAAGTTCCTGTTTAAAGGTGTACAAAGTGTACGTTCGAATGAGGTCTCCACAAAGCAGTTTGGACTGCTCCGTTATGATGACCTCCGGTGCCATCCAGTGTGATGGAGAAAAAAAACAGCTTGTCTGCATTTTTACACACAGCACATCACACCGTGTACCATTTTGATACATTTCATATGGACTACATGCCTGTATAGAACTCTCTGCATAAATAGACTTCTCACCACCTTATATTTGTATTTAGCCAAAAAAAGACAAAAGTGAGAGCGCAAAGCTAAGGAGGGTTATCTAATATTAGATAACCCTCCTTAGCTTTGCGCCCTCACTTTTGTCTTTTTTTTGGTTTTCACTAGCACAGGCACTCCTCCTGTCTTCTAGGGCTGCAGGCTAGTCAGGCACACATATCCCCCAGGTCATATCCGAGAGCGCTGTTTGTACCGTCCTTGTGTGATATTTGTATTTAGAATGACTTAGACATTACAAGATATAAAGTTGAAGGTTTCTTACCGTGACAGCAAGCTGGAAGAGAAACACATGTGTATTAGTATTAGAATACATCAGAAATAAAATGAATCTATTTGTATTTGTAAATTACAGCACAATGGGAACAGTTGTCTTCTTCCTTCCTTATTCATTTGAGGCATAACATTATTCTATTCATTCATTTATTTTTTTCTGATTTGTTTCGCATTAAAGTCTTTGTAATTGCAAACTTTCTTTTGGGGTTTTGGATAAAGTGGGGAAGGATTAGACCCTCTTTAAAGTTTTTATTGCTGTCTGTGACCCCATTGGGGAGATTTACCTCCCCTATATTTACTGGTGACCATTGTCATTGACACAGAAAGTGAGCGGAAATGCAAAGTTTTAGAGTCAATTTTCTAATTGGGACACCTAAGAGGGCAATTCCCCCAAACTTTGAGAGATTTCCCCTAGCATTCTGTTACATCTGTGGCACCGAAAGTAAAGGGAAATCTCCCCCGTGGGAGGGACACAGACAGCAAAAAATAACCTACCAGGGATTTTAACACTTTCTTACTCCAAAATTAAATAAAATAAAAAAGTTAAGCTATACATACACTTTAAGCTTGCATTGATGTTTTGGTTAGGTTTTACACTTGGCACAATGCAGTCAGGCAAGTACTGTTCTCCTGGCAACCGCCAAACCCAGACACGTCCATTGGATTGCCACACAGAGAAGCGTGATTCGTCACTCCAGAGAACACGTCTCCACTTCTCAAGTCCAGTGGCGTTGTGCTTTACACCACTGGATCTGACGCTTTGCATTGCACTTGGTGATGTAAGGCTTGGGTGCAGGTGCTCGGCCATGGAAACCATGGAAGCTCTCTACGCACTGTTGTTGTGCCAATCTGGAGGCCACACGAAGTTTGGAGGTCTGTAGCTATTGACGAGCGCACAGCTGGTATGGACTATGACGGGTGGATGGATATATTTAAAACAAAATTTAATGTTAAAACAAGATTAAAATTATACAACTATAAAACAATTACGGAACAATGGTATGCCAATGCGAGGCTTGAAATATTATAGGGTGAGCAAGCTTCTTATTCAGCGGGAGGAGCGATGTAGACATGTGAATCATCATCATGGCCAATCATCATTTAGGGATCATAGCAATAATATTTACAGTATAAGACAGTTCATCACATGTACACACGATCACGTTGTATATGGACTAAAATGCCCTTGTGGGTTGATGTACGTTGGACGCACCATACGACCGTTACGGAAACGCATTGGAGAACATCGGCGTTTCATTGAAAAAGGCGACACCGAACACAGTGTGCCACGGCACTTCACTGCTAAACATCATAAAAACATCCACGCCCTCCAAGTGTTCGCCATAGAGCATATACCCACTCACCTAACACCCTCAGAGCGCTACAAACGCCTATGCCATAGAGAAACGTATTGGATATCTAAACTGAATACCCTAACACCTATGGGACTAAATGAAGATTTGGAGATACTAACCATCCTCTAGAATAAACGTAAAATACATACACCATACTGCGTTCACACGACCCCCCCCCCACCCCCCTTCTTCCCCTTCTGGGCCCACTGTTCCGAATAGACCTTCCCCTATATGTGATTCCATTGTATTAAAATGGAAGCCTATATCTAAATATACATCTTCCAAACAATAACTGTGTATGGAGAAAACAATATCCAGCCACCCCATCGCTCATAGTAACAGTACACCTGTCCATGATCTTTCAGAGCGCCTCCTTTTCATCCAACAGACCAAGCCTCCACCTACGATCCCAAACCATATGAAAACACATACAGAGGAGACTTTCCCCACATCAGCGGCTTCTAGTCACAAGCACTGAATCAATTGACCAATCACATGTCTTTAGGATCGGCAACCACGCCCACCTGTCACTTTTAATTTGCGTTAATTTGCGAACTACATTGGTCTGTGCATGATGGGCTAGTTGTAAGAAAATTGAATGAGGGTGAGATGTCTGGCCCAGAAAAGTTGTACAATGGTTGTAAGGTGTATGGCCACCTTTATAGGTGCGCATACTTCCTCTAGATTAGTGGCTCCAACACTAGTACACACCCTATTGTCAAACTCCTTACATAATGACCATAAGTCCAGCAATACTGCAAGAACCCCTGGGTCTAATACATGCATACCATATTGTATATTTCACAAGCCAGTGCCTGTGTTATTTTTAACTGATAAATACACATGCAACAAGACTGATTTACTAAATCAAATGAACAACATCAGGGATAAAACTTTATGGTATGCTTACATCTTGGTCCTGCATGCGCTCATTGATGTATGCATGCATAGTGATTGCGGTCCTTGAAAATACTTAGCTGATCATAAACTGATGTTCAATGTATATGGTGTAAGCCTAATTAGTAGTGCATGTTGAAAATTCAGAAATGTTGCTTTTGTACCTTTTGTTCGTATAAGGTGTATTACAGAATGGGCAGTGAACGTTCTACCTATAAATGTAATAAAATGAGGTAAAAACGAATGTGACCTCTTCTCTAAGCAATGAAATGTGCATGTGTCAAGCTGCCAAGTGGCATGTCAATAAATCCAGTGCACTACACTGTATTAGAAGAAAATGTAGCATATGCACACGTATTTATCAGTGGAGCTTCTTTTTATACACCTTATACAACAGTTGGTGCGTGATGTTCTTTGCATGCACACAAAGACATGCTTGCTTATGCGCAGAACAATATTCTCCCTGTATACAGTTCTCTGAGACTTTTATACAAATACATTTAAAAAAAATCTTCTTTAATGATTGCCCTGTGCACCGCATGTGGTTTTATTCCTATATGGTATGAGCATTTAATGCTAAAAGCCATCAGATGAACTGAAACCCAGATGTCCAGATGTTGACACAAACATTCCACAGCAAGCAACACCAAGCAATTCCACATAAATACATATATTTCCATGCACATAATGTAGGGATGGTACATTTTTTTGAGGAAACAACATGCTTGTCCCTGCACAATTGCGGAGGCATAAGCACATAACCTTTAAGGAATTATGCCTAAGACAGACAATAACATGGAGACATATGCATAACTCAGCATAATGATAAAATGATAATCAGACATAGATTTCTACTTACGACATGTCTGACGAATAAAATCAATCAGTTCACATGGCTGTGTAGTAAACACACAAAAAAAGCAGTTAAAACAAACAGCTAGGGCGGTATTTCTCAATCCTGTCCTCAATTCCCACCAAGAGTGCATGTTATGATAACCTCATTTATGAACATTGTAGTCATTTGTGTCTCAGCAACAGGGCCGTTTTTAATGTGGGGCAAAAGGGGCAGTTGCCCGGGGCCCAGTCATTGTTGTGGGGCCCAAACAAGGCCCGCGCTAGATTAAAGCTGCACCTTGCACTGGCCCTGAGCCCTGCTCCCCCATGCTGAGGTGTTGCTCCCCACCAAATGCCTGACAACCAGAAAGTTGGCCGCCACCTGTCATGTGACTCAAGTCCGCTCTCTCTGTTCTACAGGTTGTGTGAGCTACCTACCTTCTGGCCCCGCCCTAGAAGGCCTGTGGCAAGTGAGCAGATGTTGGAGGGGGAGCGGGAGGCAAGAGACTGGGAGGAGATTCTTGGTGATGTGACGGGGGCGGGGTGACAATGTATAATTACACCTGTTGCTACCGCCCCATACTATACACATGTATCCTTCCATCTGTCACTACCCCCATACTATGTACTATGCATCATTGCACCTGTCAGTGCCCCCAACTGGGCCAGCGCTAACATAAGGCTGCATTTTCCTGATCCCGTATGGTGCTGGGCTGAACATAAACCTGGCACTGCGGCCATTTAGAGAATGGTTAATATTTTTGTCAATTCATTTCTCTGGTTGGACGAGGGGCCGTGACCTCACAATCATCCAATCAGGCATATTGTTTCCTCCACCCTCTGTTAGAGAAGCACAGTCCTAGGTGAAACTGCAGTGTCTGGGTTTAATAAAGTTGGATGTGATCTGACATCATTGGTGCACAACCTCCTGCTTTCCTACCCATAGAGCATGTTTAGGGGTTTGTTTTTTTGGTCCCTCTCTAATTTTACTGATGTGTGCATTAAATTATGCCTTTTCATGCATTGACATGGATTGTGTTAAGGTACAAAGTTATAATGAATTGGCCCTTACAAGCCTCAGTACATAAAATATAACACCTGCAATACTTTAGGGCAACTCCCTATTTTCATTTGTGAGTTTTGGTATGCTGTAGCACAGATGTTTGTTGTTTTTACTGTGACTATGCTTGGGATGACTTTCAGAAAGGGTGGCAACAGATGTATACCACCTATTAACTAACATTACACATGGATGTGTATCTGGCCTTAAAGATATTCTATTGCTGAATTAATTCCAATTTTTTTTTTTACTGAAGCTTCCTCGGCATTCAGAACTTTTGGAAGTGTCAGATGCATAACACCCCCCCCCCCCTCTGCACTTTTGTTTTCTTCCATTCCTCTGTATCACCACCATGCCCTGTGCTGACATAGTGGGCAACAAAAGGATCTACAGAGTGCAGAGGGAGGAAGGAACCGCAGCATGTATCAGAAGTGTTTGGTGCTGAGATTGTTTAGCAGACATATGTTTCCAAGAGAGTGAAGATCTATGGTGTGAGTGGTGGGACAGATAAGTAGTCACACTTTATTTTGCAGACAGGACTGCAGAACTGGTCTTCATTTTGTCAGATTACGTATTTTCCTTTATTATTATTCACTTATAAGTCAAGCAAAGTCCTAGAACATCTTGTAACAACTACTGGAATTTGAAACGAAAATTTTTTTTTTTCTACTGGGGCACCTGCATTTGTGTTTCTTGGTTTGTTGCCATATTCTGAAGACTTGCAGACCTAACCTGTCTTCAGAAAGTAAAGTGTAAGGGTCTCAAGGTCTAGAATCATGCCAGTCATAAAAATAGAGGCTTGACACATTAGGTCACTTTTTGGTTTCCGAAAGCAAATGTTAACAATTAAAATACTAAAAGCTATGACATTATTATTTGCTCGCAACCGTTAGTTTCTACCCTGCTCTGAACTGTCATGTCTATGATATTAAGAAGGGAACAAGGTAAATTGATATATTTTTTGTATCATTCTTCGCAGCAAAAATATAGGCTATCTAAATTAGTTACAGATCACAATTGCAGATTATAATAAGGGCAGAGTGCCATGCCGTTCATGGTCGCAATATCCAGGGGGCCCCATGGAGATGGTAACAAAATAGTGACTTTATGCTTCGCAAGTCTTTAGGACCCATTCACACGATTAGCGCACACTACCACTCAAGGCAACTACCGTTCATTAGAGTATGGCAGGTGCGTTGTGTTTCCCTTCATTTGAACCGCAATGTGCTCCACTGCGACATGCATTACTTGGTTCCACCGGACCAAACTGCATGTTGTCCCGCGGTGGAGTACATTGTGGTTTAGAGGTTAATTGGGGTGCCATTCAAATGAATGGCAATGCAACTCACCTTCCAGACTGTAATGAACGGTAGTTGTGTAGAATGCGTTGTTAATCGCACTGTAGAATGTGAAAAATGCACTGCAGCAGTGTGAATAGGCTCTACCTCTTTCAATCAGATGTGGGCATATCATTTGTGTAGATTGTGCAGCTGCAGAGGGGCCTTTTAAAACTTAGGAGCCTAATTATTGTAGCTGTGGGTTGGATGGGTGCTTGAACCCCTCCCACTGTTACGTAGATGTTGACATGGCTTATTTGGCTTACTTCCATCCAGCAGTCAATAGATATGCAGTGAATGTATTTGGACAGTAATTGGGTAACTGCAGATGAACATATACAATATGTATGTGCACCCCCTGTATCTGAAAGCATTGTTTCCATATTATCTGCCACCTTCATACGTGTAATCTGCAAGCACACCACTGCATATATCCAAATCAAAATTCTGCTTTTCAAATCCTAAGAAATGCTTCACAAACCCATGTCAGAAATAGAATTCAAATGTCTGGGTACACTGACCCTTAAGCTTGGGCTAATAAAACTGGCTGGGAGACAGTTTTATGTACCACACAATTATATATTATATTGTTGTTGCAGTGTAATTGCATTATAATTATAGTGGTATCTACAGATACCAAATAGGAAGTGTGCTGCTACAACAGACTATTTATTTTGTATACCCTTGGCATGTTCCCTTTATTGTTTGGTGCTTGCTAGTACACCGCCTAGCTAGACAGGCCCTGCTCCCTTACACTCTTCAGTACAGTTTAATTTATATTGCAGAGGCAGGGCTCAGGAAACTTATTGCATTCTTACACTTTAGATAACTTAAAAATCCAGTCTGGGTTCTGCCAAGTCAGCAAGTGGCCTTACTGTCCACACAGACTGGGATTTAGGGAGGCATGGCATTGCATATTTTGGTATTTGAAACAGAACAGGTCAGGAATTTAAAATGTCCCAGGCTGACAGTACAGTTATTCCACCCCTGATCCTTATCTAGCAGAAATTAAGTAACATTTTGAAATGTAATACTAACATCAGGTATAGTTTAGCACTTCATTCATAACAACATACAGTATATAGAGTTTATCTAGATACAATTGGCTGTATCAAGTTTTCATTAGATTCATTCAGTTTTATGCAATTGATACCAGAATTCTTGGTCAAGACATAACTAAGTTTTGTTTTGCTGGCCCCAATATAGTTTATTTTTTAATGTTTCAATATACTTGGATGTTTAAATTTAAAGTTTAGGTTAGTTTTCAGTGCTGCAATATCCATCCTATTAGTATTAGGTGCAGATGTTCCAGAAGAAAGCGAAATAATCTAAATTCCTTTACGCTAACCCTCTGGATGAGAGGAGATTGCTTGGTGTACCCGTACCTCTGCTCTCTTTGTCCATTCAAAGAAAGTCTTGCATTCAGTGAAAAGAATACCAGGCTTTTTGTGAATGGGACAAAAGACAGGCAAGGGGAAAGTGAGTGACCCTCCTCTTCACTGTACACAAACTGCTGCTGTCAGTTTGAGCGGCAGAAGTTTATGGCTAACAGCAGGAAAAAGACTGACATTTTTACCATCCCCAGCCATCCACCAGATGGAGTTGGCAAAGCATTACACCAAACATCTCTGGAATAATCACAAGTAAAAAAGTACTTTTTTTCCTGAAGTTCCAGAGTAAAGATAGCAGCACCAAGGCCCTGACACAGAAATGATCTATAAGCAAGATATAATTTACAAGTCTACAAAATGATAAAACAACTTAGTATTTAGAAGCAGTACATACGGATTGATCGGAGTGACCTTTATCCCCTTTTCTTCCCTGAATGTAAACAAACATTAAAACAAAGTTTATTTAAGATGTAATTTAATAATAGTAAAAACAATTCATACAAATGATAATAATCCTGTAAATTCTACTTGTGTGGAAGCACTTAGACAATTGATACGCTCATTCTAAAATGTTTGATGAAGGTGAATGCCAGCTAAGATTATATTTTAAAGATGAGATGTGAAAAACATGAGGTGGGGGTTTAATAAACCTGAACTTTCTGCTTAAAAATTAACTTTCCTTATTGTGATCACTGGACACATGTGCTGCAGTTGACATTAAACTGGCTATTCAAAAGTGTGTCTGTCCATTCACCCAACATTAACATGAACATTACTTTGCATGTCCACAAGCTCCTTATAACATTCTTCCAGACTGAAATCCACCCATCAAGGCATTTTGATATTTGCACAACTCCTCCTGAGTGCCAGCCCTCTGTTTGCATTAGGCTAAGGGTTCTTGAGAGAAGTACTGAGATAGGGTGCAGTGATGTTTTCAAGAAGCTATATATGGCACCGTGCCAACCCCTGCCACCAGCCATGATCTGCCTGCAGTACATAGAAAAACACAGAGAGCCAGATATCATGTCACTGGGTCTAAAATAAGGCAGGGGTGGGGGAGGGAACCAGGGAAGGCAAAATATAAGCATATTAAACTTCAGCTTTAAGTAACAGGTGTTATCTTTACACTTCCAGTGGTCCTAACTTTATGACACAAATCAATAAATGCTGCATGAAAAGACATAATAATAGTAATAGTAATAATAAGAAGAAGTCACCCTTCGCCCAGGGGGTCCTGATTGTCCTGGATCTCCAGGTTTTCCAATAGCTGAGGTTACCTGAGGTTACATAAGAACATAGTAGATAAGAAACAATATAATAAAACACAAAAACCTGCTAAAATGAAAAAAACTAAAAAGCTTTGCAACATTAAATGCAGTTGAACTTTGATTAAAAAAGATAGCTTTATATGGTTTTATATACTGTAAATATATCTATCTATCTATCTATCTATCTATCTATCTATCTATCTATCTATCTATCTATCTATCTATCTATCTATCTATCACTAGAATGTTATCTTATCTCCTGCTGCCCATGGAGTGGACAAAGAGAAGGAGAACCTGTCATTAAATAGAATAAAAAAACTGCTGCAAGAATAAAAACTTACTGTTACAGCCAAATGCTGAGTCTTTCTGACACTCAAAGCTCCTACACTTGCTGGTAGTGTCAGAGCTTGCTACCTCCTTGAGCCTGCAGCATGCTTATTGACCCATTTCTATTGTGGGTAGCCTTACTGGCCAATAGAAATGTGTAGGCAAGCTTCCGGAGTATCAGAAAGTACTGACACCTTCCTTGTTACAATGTCTGAGAATTCAGCCTTAAAGCAAGGAACTAAGAGGATACTTGCAGTATTTTTTTTTGTACTAAAAGAAATGCAGAAGTAGCCATTACTGACTCATATCTGAAAATGCTAGTTGCCTGGCTCTCCTGTGGACTCCATGACTTGGGGTGTAATGCTCTATTTAATTAACCCTACAATCAGTGAGCAGAATTCAGCGTTAAGATTCTTTGGTGGGTTGGACCTGTACTTTAGCAGAATAAAATTAAATAATAAAATCAACATAATCCTATAATAATTACTTATATTGAAATGTAAGCCTATGGACCTAATGAATATGGCACAGCACAATCTACACTTTTATTATAGGAGCAAACAGACTCAAGCAGTACAGACTCAAATATACAAGGCCTGTGCTATAAGTATCAGGCTTGTGCACCTCTCTGGTTATTGTATTACATAGAAGTCTGAATGGTTTATAATACTAAGAAGGCCAATAAACCTCAGGCTCCTGACTTGCTAGCAGCAACCAAGCAACAAAAATGTATAACTTTCTAGTATTTCACAGAAAACAGAATGAAAAGGTGAATGCCTTTAGATATTCAGACATTTCATTATCTTAGACATGCACTTTGTTAAGTACACCTGTTTAATAGGGTTGAGCCGCACAACCCCCTGTTCGGTTCGTATTCGAACATTCGAATGGCCAAAATGTTCGAATACGAAATCAAACTCAATGCAAGTGTATGGAATGTTCGACCCCCATACAGTTGCCGGTACATGTAATAAATACAGTGTACTGGCCCCCTTACCTCCGCTGCTGTCCCGGCCTCCGGTCCCCTGGTCCGTCCACTCGCTGTCCCGGCCTTCGGTCCCCTGGTCCGTCTGCTCGCTGTCCCGGCGGTCCAGCGGCTTTTCTCCTTCAGTCCGGCCGCGGCTCCTCTGCCCCGCCCCCCTGCCTACACTTCGTCTGCAGGCTGGGAGCCATACCTTCAGGCCCCTCCTCCGCTGAGCCCTGATTGGGCAAAGTCTTGCACCTGACCTGTGGTCAGGTGCAAGACTTTACCCAATCAGAGCTTTAGTGGGCATTTTGTATTATGGAATGTATGCGGTCGAACAGACCGCGAACATCCCATAAAGTTCGGCGCTCGTCGAGCGCTTGAACTGCCGATATTCAATTCGAACTCATGTTCGAATCGAACAATTGGGCCCATCCCTACTGTTTAACTGCTTGTTAATGTAAATATCTAATCAGCCAATCACATGGCAGCAACCTAATGCATTTAGGCATGTAGACCTTGTCAAGGCAATCTGCTGAAGTTCAAACCGAGCATCAGAAGGGGAATAAAAGGTGACTTTTAATGTGACATTGTTGTTAGGTTCAAGACGGGCTGGTTTGAGTATTTCAGAAACTGCTCATCTACTGGGATTTTCACACACAACCAACTCTACTGTTTACAGGGAATGGTCTGAAAAAAAGAGAAAATATCCAGTGAGCGGCAGTTCTCTGGGTGAAAATGCTTTGTTGATGCCAGAGGAACATGTTGAACCTTGAAGCAATCCTGTCATCTAAGAACAGGAAACTGAGGCTACAGTCATAAGGGCTCACCAAAATTGGACAATAGAAGATTGGAAAACATTGCCTGGTCTGATGAGTCTTGATTTCTACTGTGACATTCGAATGGTCGGGTCAGAATCTAGTATAAACATGAAAACATGGATCCATTCTGCCTTGTATCAATGGTTCAAGCTGCTGGTGGTGTAATGGTGTGGGAGATATTTTCTTGGCATACTTTGGGCCCCTTAGTACCATTGTTTAAATGTCACAGCCTAACTGAGTATTGTTGCTGACCATGTCCATCCCTTTATGACCCCAGTGTATCCATCTTCTGTTGGCTAATTCCAGCAGGATAATGTGCCATGTCATAAAGCTAAAAAGCTAAAATCATCCCAAACTGGTTTCTTGAACATGATAATGAATTCACTGTACTGAAATGGCCTCCACAGTCACTAGATCTCAATCCAATAGACCACCTTTGCGATGTGGTGGAAGAAGAGAATCACATCCTAGATGTGCACTCGACAAATCTTCAGCAACTGCGTGACGCTATCATGTCAATATGGACCAAACTCTCTAAGAAATGTTTGCAGCACCTTGTTCAATCTACAGTATGCCACAAAAGAATTAAGGCAGCTCTGAATACAAAAGGTGGTCCAACCCAGTACTAGCATGATGTACATGATAAGGTGGGCAGTGAGTGTATAAATAACTGACAAGATATTATACTTACTGTTCTTCCCGGGGCTCCCTTTGGTCCATGCCCTCCAGCTTTTCCAGGATCTCCCTGTACTCCCTGTAAATGATTGAAATACAATCATAACCAACAATTATTTGACTTATCTCTGGAAAGGTTGTCAAGGTGAAGCAGTCACTAATTACGGAGTAGCTGGAGAATATTTTTTCTACTGTTTGTGTAATTAACTGAATTTACTGGGCAATCCTATCCAGTTTTCTGTATCGATTTACAAAATTGCTTGTGATGAGAGGTGGATGAGGACAGTTATGATAGTTAACATTTAGAAATTGTATTCTGTTGTTTGGAAATATTGCTGTGCTGATTTTACATTTATCCACTGTAAAAAAAAAACGTAGAACTTAACATTGCTAGCAGGTAGGATTTTATTGCAGAAGACACTAAGTATGTATTAATTAACAATTTGCAGAGCCATTCACCTTGCGCATCCTTGTGAACATTTGTTCTATGCCATTAAAGGCAAAATGCTATTTTCTTTTATAAAGTTGAATCTATCTGATTCAACATATTGTTGACCTCTGATTTCTTTTTCTCCATTTTTTCCATACATTTTGTAAGCAGCAGCTATTAATCTTAGTAAAGATTTATTTTTACAACTTTTATCTGCGTTTTTTTCCTTGAAAGCCAAATCCCATTTACTCTATTTATGCATTCAGTAAACAAATAACTAAAAGCAATATAAATTACTGCTAGTACAACTGATAGAATTTTGACTTTGCAAATATTCTTTAAGGTGATGTGGGCTGGGCACAATGTGTGTGTGTGTGTGTGTGTGTGTGTGTTGGGGTAAGTTTGGCATGTGTCTTTTTCAACTGTGTATTTATATGTTTGACTGGAGTTCAAAGAAGTTTAGAGAAAGTAGGAGTATGCTATACTGTTAAACATCTTCAAACAGTTGATTTGACATACACTATCAATAAACATAAATGAAGTGTTAACCATATTGCATGAACATACACAAAAATGAAAATACCTTCACGCCACTGTTTCCTGGAAATCCCTGCTCTCCCTAGAGATATAAAGGAATACAGATTCTTTATCTGAGTAGGGCATTTACCAGATGCAATAGTTCATTTATAAATTTATATAAGGTACTCAAACTGATTACAGTAAAACATGGACTCATTGTTTATTAAAAATATATGATAAAATAGCATGCATTCTTCATTTATCATTATCTTTTGAAGTGACAAACCACACACAAAAAAAAAGAGGCGGCAACATGACTTATACTAATGACAGAATATGCAGTATGGTTGTACCAATCTGGACAGTGAAATGGTACATGGTCTGGACAGGTAAGGCAATATGTCATTGGGACAGTAGTGAGGTCTTGGCACCCCAAAACTATTTAGGAAACCCAGTCGTCCCCTCAGTTTGTTGACATTCGCCACTTCTAGACATGACGAAACCAGACTATTGATTCAAAATTTGTTTTTTAGATCTTTTGAAGATCCTTCAAAAGTTCAGAGCATCAGGCCTGTTTTATGGCAGTTTATGGTTTAATGGCCAACCTTTTAATGAGGAATCATAAAGCGCTGGGCTTTTCTGATTGGGTGGGAGCTGTCACATATTGTTGACAGCATGGCGGGATCTAACCTGCTATTTGTCACAGTCGTTGGTAAAGGGTCCAAAGGAGACCCCTTGACTATTTTCTGTAATGTTGATTACCTGTGATCATAAAGAAATAAATAATACAAACATAAAGAAACAATGCTGCTTGTGGTTTGACCGCTCAAGTGTTGAATTTTCCAAACATCAACAGATAAAATCTTGGAATGGGAACTGACTGATAAAAATATGACCTAGCCTACAGCTACACATATTGCCAATAAGGTGTTTAAAAACATGTTCCTAGCAGATCACCCTGAATGTAAGATAAAGTGAAGTAGAACTTGATTATAAACCTATCTACATTGTGGTCATATGGATGTTTACTGATACATTTTAAAGGGTCAGCCTCACCACAATTTGCTAACAGTAGCCCGCTAAGCACCATAAGTGACAAGAGCTCAAAGATATATAGGTTGACTCGAGAGCATATTGTGGTTTGTATGAATAACATCTCCACACAGTACATACCTTGTTTGTTTTACTGCATTTTAAATAGCTTAAGATGTAACCAAATTATAGGAAGTTATTGTACTCACCTTTGTTCCCTTTTGGGCAGTTTTTCCGAAGCCAGGCTTTCCATCTTCTCCCTTTTAAAACATGCAAAGTTCTGAATTTCAATACAAATATTAATTAAATATTAAATCTAGTCTGGGTCTTCAAAATGGGCTACTTCTGTTGTTTAATGGAAGTGTATGGTAATTTTAGTGTATTTTTTAGAGATATATGTAAAGAAGATAATATTAAAGTAAATCCCACCTCAACCTAACCACTGAACCATCACATTCTCAAACAATTCATCCCCACACAGCTACCTCCTCATGTATCACTGGCCCCTCCCTTTCAGATTGTAAGCCCTCATGGGAAGGGCCCTCATTACCATTCTGTCTTGAATTGTATTGTGATTGTAATGTCTTCCTTATATTGTAAAGTGCTGCGCAAACTGTTGGCGTCAAATCAAATACAAATCCTGTATAATAATAATAATCTTATTGTTTATTTTTTCCGGCCCCTTTCAAGTTTGTGTGTTCGGCGGGCTGTTCGCCTGCAGAGCTCCCCACAAGGCACCAGCTGTCATTTGCATGGAGATGCATGGACGACCTTCTCCATGCTTTGGCTGTCACTTCTGCTCAGTCGAGCCGAAGTATATGCCTCGGCTCGGCTGTCTTTGGCTGCTGTATGGGTTATTGGGAATAGGCTGTGCAACAGCCCTTCGGGTCGACTGAGCCGAAGGACAGAGGCAGCCGAAGAGAGCAGAAGGATCTGCCGAAACTACGGCTGTATCCTTCGGCTCCATGTTGAATAACCCCCATAGTATATACTTGGTAAACCAATAAAATCCTTACTGTTTAAAACATATTTCCAGCCAAATCATTTATTTGTAGTTTTGAAATGAGTGGATAGTGGATAGAACCTCTATATGGTTACATGGATGTTCTCCTCTTAGGGAGATTTCTTTTCACATCTTATCCCCATAACTGGGACAGAAAATGAGAGAAGATCTCTCAAATGGAAACACCAATGGCAGTAAAAAAAACTTTTTTTTACTAGAGTGGAAAATGGTTAAAACTGCTGTCAGCAAATGCACATAAAAATACATTTATTTAAAAAATATATATATATAAAATCTTATCTCTAACCGCAGGCCCTCTTGGTCCCCTTGGTCCAGGGGTTCCATTTTCACCAGGATCACCAGATTCTCCCTGCCAAAAAAGGTGCAATACTTTAAAGAAGAACTCCAGGCACTTTAAAAATTAATTCTTGCAGTGGGGCTACCCCTGCACTGCAACGTTTAAGTGCTTGGTCTAGGGTCTAAAATAAAAAAAGATATACTCACCCGATCATCGGTCCCACCTGGCTGTCAGACCTGTCCCCACAGCTTCTTCATGAGCAAAGCACAACTTCCCTTTAAATCTGTCTCTGAGTTCTGTGTGGCTGTTCGTGCCTTAAATATTCCAATGTATTGTTTAGTACTCAGCTTGCCTGTGCTTATCTTGCCTGTTGTTACCTGTTACCTTTGCCATTGTTCATCATTGCGCTGTTTACCTGTCTGGAACCTGTTTGTCTGTTACCGACCTAGTTTATTATGAACATTTGTCTGATGATTTATACTGGA